TCTGTTGTCCTGATGCATCCAAAGCTCACACCTTAGTAAGAAAGAGAGGGAACCACAAAAACCCAGTGTATGTGTGTGTGAGTGCAAAACAATTAACTCTATCAGTTCACGGTGTGTACAAGAGATGAATGAACCGCCCAGATTCCTTAGGGAAGGAGGAAAAGAAGGAAAATGAATTGCCCCCCAAACCTCCTGCAAGAGAGATTCTTTCTCTGGGACTAGGCAGGGGTGATGCAGGTGAGCAGCTTTGGGTTGCTCAGGGGCTTTCCCACACTTGCTGCTTGGAGCAGTGCCAATGTAAAGGGCTTCACCCCTCCAGTCAGAGAGGGGGAGGTCTCTGGGAGGAAAGGAGATGGCCCAGGAATGAAGCTTCCAGCTGTTTATCACTCCCAATTTCCTTTCCTGCTATCTCCACTCCCTATTCCCAAACAGCACCTTCAAGGACACAGCTTCCTCTCTGACTGTCCTGACCACAGGCCTTATCCAGCTGGCTGACACCATCTTGACTTTTTCTTGTCAAAATTTAAAAATCAGTTTCAAAAAATGTTTTTAACAAACTTCAGCCAACAGTTTCTGAAAGACAGACACTCCTACCAACACTTGCTACAATCCTTTGAAGTGTGTATTATTATCCCCTATTTTTACAGGTAGTGCCTGAGGCTCAGAGAAGTTAAGTCAGTTACCCAAGGTTACACAGCTTAAGTGGTAGAGCAGATACCTAAGATTTGGATTCACATCATGTTCTGACATCTTTGGTGGTGTCACACCAATACCCTCAAACATAAAAGTGAGGTCAGAGTCATGATCTAGCCCAGAGCAGAAATCTGACATTTTGTCTCTGTCATGTGTAAGGACATTTCACAATGACACCAGGGCGGCCTCAAAGGCAATAATCCCAAATGTTTCCAACTGTCTTTAGTAATCCAATAAAGATCCGTCACTCAAGGTATATTTGGTCTGTTGTGAAATATTTGGATCTTTTTTCTCGAGCCACTGTGACAGGGGTGTAGGCCCATGGCTGGTTTAGGGGCCAGTTACCATAATTTCCCAAGATGTCAAGGTAACTGACCCCACCCAGTTCCAGGTTCCAGTTTGTTAACTTGGGCACCCACTGCTTAAAACAGATAGTGATCTCCTCGTCAACTGAAAAATAATCCTCCATGCTTGAGTTTGAACCGTCTGCTCTGTGCTGGGAGGGCTGGCCTCCCCTGAGGCCCAGCCCACGGCTCGGTGCTCACCATCCTCTCTCAGCTTCTGCTTCCCCCTCCTCCGAGCCCAGGGTTCTGAGCCAGTCGCCCGGGGCTCTCAGTCCTTCCAGTCACACGTGCTGACCTTTCTTCCATAGAAGTGGGTGGGCCAGAAGCCCCGCCCCCCCTATTCAGTGCAGGGGCGCAGGGCGGGGCTTCCTCCCCAAAGGGCTTGGGCATCGCTAAACTGGGAGGTAGAAAATCTCAAACAGGATCATCCATGGGCAGCCAGCATCCTGAGGGACTTAGGAAATGGGGGTCCAAAATATCTCTGATGAAACTCTTGGGAAAACATCTCTGAGGAAAACTTGGTCTCTCTCTTTTGCTGAGTTTCACTTGTTATGATATTTTCTACAAAGGAGCATTTCTGAAAGGAGGGTGGGCATGTAACTCTGACTTTCTCCATTTTTTAAAAAATTTAGAGCAAACTCCTGGGCCCTGTAACTCCCATTTGCTGTCTGCTTTCTGTGTCTCTCCTGTCAAGTCTCCCTTTCGTTCTTTGCACACCTGAACAGGAGATGCGAGGGGACTGATGTCTAGAAGCTCTGTGAACCCCTCACAGTATACATGTGTGCGTGGGCGCGCGCACACACACACACGCACGCGCACACACGTTTGCTTATTTTATACATGTAATCTCCTTTAATCCTTACCACAGACCCATGGAGGGTACTATCATCGCCATTTTACAGACGAGGAAGCACTTTGACCTTGATCGCTGCTGTATTGCTTCAAGAGCACTTTACTTTCAAAATGCTTCAGTGAAAACAACCGTGCTACTTGGACAAGCTTCCAGTGCCCTTCCATACACGAGGTCTAAAAGGTGGACAAATGCAGCAGTCTAATGGCAAAGAGCACCCCCACTGGTCCTAGGTTCCCCCCCAACCCCCAGTCCCGCCGACCTACCAGAAGGCATGCCTTACACCTCCAGACAAACCTTCCCTGCAAGCTCCTGGTCAGAGCCCTGTACAGCAGGCTGGACGAACGGGCACACGGCATATTGTACCAGAGTGCTAACAAACATTTGTAGGCTTGGCAGAATTCAGCCTAAGACTGGCTTTCACTTGCACCAGGAACACGGCTGTGCAGAAAGGGACATTAGCTCACTCGCTCTGCTCTCCAGGGGTTCACCATCTCTGCCCAGCAGTCCCCACCATTTGCTGAATGACCAGACTGGCTCTGGTGCCACTGGCAGCTGTCCCACAGCTGGGGGTGTGGGGGGTGCAAATCCAGAATGTGGAGCCGGGTCCATCTACCCCAAAGCCCACCGGCCTGCTGCCTCTCCAGGACAGGATGAAGGCCAAAGAGAACCCACAGAACCATTCGAGACCAGTGGTTCTGTCAGTCAACAAAGAGGGGAAAAAATTCCTTTTATTGACTGATTTTTAATCTTCAGGATCTTCCAAAAAATGAATCCTTAGAAATCTTGCTCATGCCATAAATTCTTTAAAGGTCAGGCTGAATATATAATCCACTTTAAGTCCTAATAGGAAATAACCAATGTTCAGCTTGACGTACATACTTAGGATATCTCATGTAAAATTCAGTACCATAAAATGTAGGGGGAGGTCTGGGCAGGGGGTGGAAACCGTGGACACTAGCTTCTCAGTGTTTCTCTGCAAAAGGTCAGCTTTATTTTAACTCTGGTGTTCCTGGGCCTACCCAGGAAAATGCACCCTTCACTTTCATGTGGTGAGACTCCAGGCTGCTGCCATTTCAGGCAATCAGATTATCCAGATCATCAACAAATACTTATTTTTAGACCTGAAAGGATGAGAATTTCCTATCCTTCCACCATCCTCTGAAGGCGGCGGAGCCTTGTTTGTGAGTATCATCAACAAGGATATAAAGCAGAAAATCTTCCAGATTTTTTTTTTCCATTCACCCTGACAGTGGACTGAATGCATTTCCAAATTGGTCCCCAAAACAGAAAACATTGTGAGCAGGAAAATCGCCTCAAGGGGAAGGAACAGTGAGTTATAGTTTTTAAAACATGCGTCTTCATCTTTGAAACACACAAGCTCGCTGCAAGAGCTACTGTGAATGTATCCCCAGAATGCGTTTGGTGTGGTGAGACTAACTGGGTCACGGCTTTGAGCCCGTGTCCCTAGATGCGTAGGGTTCAGAGCTGGAGAGGGTCTTGGACATTGTCTGGGCAGCGTTCTCACTGTACAGGTGAGGACACAGGCTTCCCCAAAGTCCTAAAAATAGCGGGATGCAGAAGCAGAAAAATGTGGGAGTTTGGAATCCTAGTAATCCCTGACCACTATCTAGAACTAAAGTGCTGTGGGTCCCAGGCCATGTGGGTATCGTAGATAAAAATCTCTAAGTCCCCACCTACTGATCCTCCTATGACAATGATAGTGGGGGCCCAGAGCCCAGTAAACCCCTTCTCCCATTTCTCTTAAATGTTAAGTTCCTGCCTGGAGGACTTGAGGTTTTTCAGACTTGCCATTTAGGGACATACATTTATCCCTGCATCGGAACAAACATGCTGAAGTGAGGCCACATTTTCTAGCCCTTGGAAAACCAAGTTCCCATCGACAGCCAACTGTCTGGTTTCCTGACAAACTGAACGGATGGAGCCCCTGGCTGGGTGAATGAAAAGCTGTCATTTTCTGGCTTTGTTTGGTGCCTTTATGAAGACTGAATGTGTCAGCCAGAAACAGCAATGGAGTGTGCAAGGGGATGCATCCTAGATGTGGTGGGCTCCCTGGTGCCTGCCGGGCGAGGAGCTTCATCCTAAATGGGAGGAGTCCTATGCTTGGGTCCACAGGTATACAGGAATAAAGGAGATAAAGAATGGGGCTTTGGGGCCAGAGAGTGAATCCAGTTCATTCTAACTTTACTCTGAAAACTCCAAACCTCCCCATTCTTATCTCCAGGGGCCCTGCTAGATCCTTCCTGTTTGACACTGTCCCTTTGTCCCTGTACCCTGGAAGGTGTATCTTTCCAGGAAGCTAGGATGGTCCCAGAGCAAGAGGACCTCGTAATTTCAGCCCTGGACAGCCTGTGAACTCCCTTTCATTGATTCAACAGCTACTTTCTGAATGCTGCTCCTGTGCCAGGCTCTGCGCTTGGCACTGAGGCTCCGGTAGAATTAACACGACATCCCTCTGCTAACGCCTGGTCAGCGTTAGCAGAGGGATGGTCCCTTCCCCACATCTCGTGAACTAGGCTCGGAGAACTCTACATCCTCCTCTGCCTTTCATCAATGGAACTAAGACTTATTGATTCATCTGCTCTTCAAACCACTGTGAGGGTACACAGATGAATCAGGGAATCATCTTGTCCTCATTGTCTAGGATGGAGGATGTTCGCGTAAAAATAGATTATGCATTTGGGTTATTTCCAGCTTGGGGCTCTTAAGAGAAAAGCTTCTGTGAATATGCTTGTGCAGTTCTTTTTATGGATCTATGTTTTCATTCCTCGTGGGTCAGTATGTAGCAAAAGTTCCATTATTGGGTGAATAGATTAAATGTGGTATAGTCACCCAATGGAATATTACTCAGATGTAAAAAGGAATGACCTGCTGATACTTTCAGTATCATGGAAGAATCCCAAAAACAATATGATGAACAAAGGAACCAAGCACAAAGGAGTTCATTCTTTATTATTCTATTTATATAAAGCTCTAGAACAGGCAAAACTGATCGATTATGAGAGAAATCGGGACAGTGGTTGCCTCTGGCAGGGGGCATAAGCTAGAGAAGATTTAGGAGAGCAAAGTCTATATTAGAATTAACCACATCATACATTCAAAATCTGTGTACTTTATTATATGTAAATTATACCTCAATTAACATTTACTTTTAAAAACTCACAGATCTGCACAGGGCTCATTTGTATCCAGAACAAACATGGCAAAAGTTAAATCTGACAGTTCAGTGGAGTTTGTTATTTATTGTATTGTTTGTGCCATTTTCCACATGCTTAAAATTTCACAGTTAAAAATATTTTGAAGGTTAAAAAGCAAGAATTAGAAGTGGAATAATCAACCCCCCAGGTTTGAAGGGATCTTAGAGTTCATTTAGCCCAACTTCCCATCTTGAGTGCCGATCCTCATAAAACATCCCTGCCCGGTGATCTCCCGCCTGGAACACATGCAGGAGGGTGCTTACACCTCCTGGGGCAGCATGTTGTGAAACCAAGCTGAGAAGTGCAGCAACCAGGGAGGTGTTCATTCAGAGGGGAAAAGGGGGACCTCCAGATGTCCCACCCTCCTTAGAAGCAGGTTCACTTGAGAGCTGTCATTCACCGAGCACTTCTGGGAGCCGTTGGTGGAGGTGCACTAGTGCGCAAAACCTGACCACCCCCTGCAAGCTGCAGAGCTGCAGCCGCCAGGTGTGTTAGACTTAACGTTCTGGTTCTTTCCTCTCTGCCTTACACTGTCCTTGTCTCCTAGCCCTGAGCTCCAGGGCTCTTGCGTGAGTTGGTCTGAAAGAGAAGGTGAGGAGGGAGACACTCACCTCAGAGCCTGGCCCTAATAGGGAGTCAGAACAGGGGGGCCATGCTGGACGTTGGGAGAATGCTGACAGGACCTCCCTCCCACCCCAGACTCAGGCAAGGTAAAGAGAACATTCTAGAAACCATGGTCCAAAATATGAAGGAATTTTCTTCATGGCAACATCGAGCCCACAGCAGGGGGCTTCACTGTCCCAAGGAGAGCAGGGCTCCGAGGCCCCTGTAACCCTGACTGGTTCTACGTCAGCCTTTCCTGGTGCAGGGTCAGGATCAGGGACAAGCAGATTAGCTTCTTCAACACTTAGGGCCCTAAGCTTGCCAGCAACAGAAAACTAGTCTGGATAATCTAGGCAAGACAACAGATATATTGGACAGAAATGGGTAGTTCCCAGAACAGAAGAGAGAATTGAATGATCACACTTTAAAAGGACAGGGACCAGGGCCATCTGGGATCTGAGTAGCAGAATAACACTGACAGGCCCACTGGGACAAATCTGTCCAGCTGACCTCATGTCTGTGCAAGAGAAAATCTGATAGGCCACCCTGGCGGCTGTGCCCATTGCAGGCAGGCAGCCAGACCGACAATCCCACTACGACTGGGGGAAAGTGTACTTCCCCGAAGCAGAATCATGGCGCTGTGGCCCGAAGAAGGAACCCTGAGCAGGCAAAATGCCTGGCCCAGTCCAGGGCCCTCAGAGCCGGTGTGCGTCCTCGTGTGCCATACGGCTCCTCAGGGCGATGCCGCAGCCACCCCCAGCTCCCCCCAGAACTCCCCTGCAGCTCCCTGCTGGGATCTCAGATAGGAAGCAGAGGCAGCAGAGAACATGCAGGGTGGATGTACTTTTCTCCAAACCCACCAGCAAAGTTAGACTTACAGATGTGAGTTTCCCAGGACCCCAGTTCGGACCAAACTCAGCTAGGAGGAAGCGGGCGTTGTCCCTGAGCACCCGCTGGGGCCATCTCTCTGGGCTACCTCTGTCTGAATCTATCCTTAGCCTTGCCCTGAAGTCTGTGCCGACTCCCAAGGTGACCAAGACCAGGCAGCAGGATGAGGTCGGGGCAGCAGACAGAGGTGGGGACTGCAGGGTCCAGGGTGACCGAAAGCCAGACGAGGAGACATCAGTTTAAGGCTCGGATTCTTAAGAACCTGGTTAACATCACTCACTCATCCTGGAATGTGGCCTCCTGGTGTGCAGTTTCCCGTTTGTTTTGTTGACAGCTCTGCACCCCTACTGCCTGGAGCAGCACCTGGTGCACTTGGGGGTCCTGAGGTATTTGGGGCACGAATGGGTAACACTGTGCTGCCTTCTTTGCAAAACTAGTTGGAGATCCTGTCCCCCAGAGGCTGGGCTTGCCAGTGGAGGGAGCTAGAAAGGGCTTCTGCCATTCGGTTGGGGCCGGGGTGCAGGCAGGGCACCAGCTGCAGTGCAGTGCTCAGGGCTGGGATGGGGGCCCAAGAGGGCCTGGTGGCGCCTCTGGGCGGTCGCCCGCAGCAGAAACACACTCACAGACACAGGGCCTTCTGCTGAAGAGCCAGAGGCCGGGGCGTCAGGTTAGAGGCAGAAGTGGGATCGCACTACTCTTGGGCTTCTGTTCGTCCTTCAACCCCACAGGATGTGATGACAAGGAGGGCGACGGGCTGTTGATGGGAGCGCCATGCATGCAGCATGGGAGAGCCATGCATGCAGCATGGGAGACGAGCTCCTCTCTTAGCTCAGCTGCTCAGGGTTGGAAGGGGAGCCCCATCCGCACCCAGCAGGGCTAGCGGGGCCCTGGAGCCCCTTGCTGTCCTTGGAGGGCCACATCCACAGCTCCCTGGCCACTGCCCTGTTTGCAGAGCCTCTGATAAGTTCCGCCCTTTCCCAGCTCCTCACCTGGTGTGGGGGGGTCGGTGGTTGTGGTCCCTCTGCAGCCCCCTCTCAGTTCTTTCGCGTTTGTTTCTGCCTGTGGTTTCTGGGGTCAGGGAGGACCCCGTGGCAACCAAATGCCCAGGGCAGGGAGAGCTGCCTGTCAAGCTGCTCTGCAGCAGCCTGGGAAGCTTTGCGCTGGCTTTGCCCAGCAGGGCTCTTCCGGGGCAGCGGAGGAGGAGCTCTGCCCCCACTCACTCCTGAGCCCATTGAAGTGCTCGATGCCTTTGCCCCCCTATCTGTACACATGGGAGCAGAGGGGAGAGGGGTCAGGAGCAGGACTCCGGCTGGATGCCTAAGTCACGGTCCTGGTCTGCAGTTTGCCGGGGTACCAGGGAACCTTTGAGACGCTCCCGAAGCTCAGCGCGCCTCACCGGCCTCATCTGTGCCTTGGGCATAATTGCAGGACCCACCTCACGGCCTGTTCTGAGGATTGATTGTGGCACCCAGAATAGCTCCTGGAGCAACCAATAGCAAGTGGTTGATAAATATTTATAATCCTTACCACGTCTCTCCTAACCCCACGCACCCTGCAGAGCCTAACTGGAAGTCCCTCAGGGTGTCTCCTCTGAACTCCCAGAGTTGGTCTCATCTGAATCACACAAGTCAGTGCTCCATGTCTCAGACTGTCAATAGTGTCAAGAGTTGCTCCTCAGGGAGAGGGTGAGGGCCCCCCTCAGGGTTGGGCCTGAGGCCCGCCAAGTCTCCAGGAACGGGACATGATGTGTGTGTGTGGCCCCTGCTTTTTTACAAATGTTTTTCAAAACTCTTGCAGCTTTTTCATATTTAAATTTAAACAATCAAGGAATATTTTTCACGAAGCTATTATGTGTTTAATACTATGGAGACAAAAAGATTAATCAACCCATCTGCTCAGTTTGAGCCAGGAACCCGGCTTCCTCCCGCTGTCCCCGCCTCCGCCAGTCACTAGGTCCTGAGGCTCTGACGGCATCCTTCCCTCCTGAGCTTCCTCCCAGCCCTGGGCCCCCCTACCGGCCCCCCCCCACGGTTCCTTGCCTAGACTATTGCAAAACGCCCCCATTGGTCCCTGCTCCTAAAACCCTAAAACCTGTTTCTCCCAAAATAGAAATTAGATCCTGTCACTCCAAGGGTTAAAGATTGTCAGTGTTTCTTTCCTATTGTCTACGGAATACAAGTCAAATTCCATGCAAGGCCTTTATCAATGTGGTCTACAACCCTAACGGACCCAGCGCCCACCATCCTCACCGCACACATTCTGGGCCCCTCAAGCTCATGCCTCCTCCTGCTGAGAACAACTTTCTTTCCTGGCTCTGCCTGGCAGCCACTACCCTTCCTTCAAGACCAGATCAGGGGCAACTTCCCTGAACTTTCCCAAAGCTAGTCACTGCCTCTTGTCACTCCCATAAAATCTGGTACAATTTGTTCTCAGAATACCTGTCCCTGGTAGGCAGTTTCCTCTGCTGGGCGGTGGCTCCAGCCTTACGCACTTGGCACCCAGCCCTGGATGGTCCACAGGGCTGACCTGATGTGAACAGCACTCTCAAGGGCCTTACCTCCCGTTCTTCTTACCTGTTTCAGCCATACAGCTTGGAAACGGGGTTTATCCTCACTGCCTTCGATTCTGGTCTTGAATTCCACCCCAGCTCTTGCCGGCACTACTTCTTGTCCAGGGCGCCTGTGGCCTCCGTGACCCAGAGGTCAGGCCTCTGCCCTCACCTTCCCAGTTGATTCCTCCACTTTCTAGTTCCTGTGACCCACAATCCCCTGGGGCCCTTCCATCTCATCTCAGATGTCTTTGCTGGTTCTTCCCCATCTCCCTGACCTCTCACTGCTGGAGAGTCTTAGAGCTTGGTCCTCAGACCTTTTCTATCTACATTCTCTCTCTCTCTGTGGGTGACTCCATCCACAGTCACGACTTTAAGGAGTATCTCTATGTTGATTGCTCCCAAATGTGTAACTCCTGCCTATCCTTCCCTCTTGAACAGGAGGCTCCAACACCCAAGTACACACCCACATCACCACTCGCCCTTTCAAACTTAAGCCGGAATTCTGCCCTGCCCAGCCCGTAGTACCTTTCCCTGAAGTCTTCCCGTCTTCCCAGCTTCTGGGTACTCAGCCTAAACATCCTGAGCCAACTTCCAGTTCTCTCTGCCCCTCCCACCCCACCTCCAGTCCATCCCCAAATCCTGCTGCTCTCTGCCTTGGATGTGCATGCAGAACCCGACCACTCCCCACTGCTCTGGCCAGGCTCCTCTGCACTCTTTCAGTAAGCGAGATAAGAGAGTGCCTCAAGGGAACAGGCAAAATGCTGAAGGATTTTGAAAGAAAAGAGGATTACTTTTGGCTGAAAAGTCAAGGCAGCATAGAATTTGGTTGTGTCATGGAACAAAGACAACCCGTGTTGTTTAAATACATGACATTATTTTGTTGCTTGCCAGACAAGGAGATCACGTCCTTTCAGAAAGGTCAGTGAGTCACCCTTAACTGAAAGTGAAAGGACATAAAATGTGGAAAAGAAGTTTTGTGCAAATTTCCAACTGATTCAAAGGTGAAGTTTGCAGCCTCTCTTGAGATGGGTCATTTCTCTGGTTTTGCATCACTCACTCAGGCATGGGGTGATTCTCAGGCCCAGGGTGGGCTGCATAAGGCCCTGGGGAGTCGGGGCTCATACGAGGGCAAATTCGAACGTGCCTGTCAAAGCTCCGTGAGATCTTTCTTAAACTGTCTCAGAGAACCAGGAGAAGGGCATCTGGGGCAGAAGGAACAGCGTGAGCCAAAGCCCAGCCCTCAGGATTGAGAATAAAGAGAAGGTCCAAGGAAGACATGGAGCCAAGGGTGATTCCTGACGAAGGGTCAGGGATGTTAGGAGAGGAGATAGAGGCTCACCTCTCGATGCTCACGTGTGGCCTCATCAAACGTATGTAAACAGGAAGGATGGTCAGAGCTGTTTAAGAAGATTAATCCAGTGGGCAGTGGGCAGAATTCAAGGGAGACAAGTTAGGGGGCTGGTGAAACACCCCAGTAAGGGATAGCAAAAGCCAAAAGATGCTGAGATAGTGAGGCAGCGAGTAAGGTACCAGGGGGTGGTCAAGGCCAGGCTGGGAGAGGCCATAGCTGGCTCTGGGAGGGGCCACGTTGCCACGTTGGTCTAGAGCCAGCTGCTGTGTGTGCCCGCCCTTGCTGACACTCTCTCAGATGCCAAGGCTTATGGGCTCAGCCAGGAGGCCTGCCTAACTCCACGTGGCAGGCTGGGGCCCAGAGGGAGTGAGCCAGTTTGGTTTGGCTGGCCACTGGGTAGAGGTGGAAGGAAAGGCAAGTGCCAGCTGCAGTGGTCAGGGGACCATGTGGCTTGTCCAACATCCCCTCTCAGCTAACCAGATGGAGCAGCCCCCCATCTGGGATGTGGGGGGCAAGGAGAAGCAGCTGGCCCCAACTGGGAAAGGCCTCACCTCCAGACCCAGCCAAGGGAAACTAAGACCCAGGTAGCATGAGCCAAGGCCCAGGAGAGATTTGGAGCAGATATTGGGAAATTAGGGTAAAATAACACCACAGGGCCTGCCAGCTGGTGGGGAAACGGCTCTAGCCACACAGCCCAGCCTGGCTGAGGGGCAGGGGGTGAAGAGACATCTGTGTCTTAACAGATATGCTGGGGGAGGCTGGGAAGCCCCCTTCTCAGCCAACATTCCCTCCCCCTGGGCTCTGGAATGGCCAGTACTTGTCTTGTCTTTGTCTATTTTGGGGTTGCACTGGGAAGAAAGAGGTGTGTCTGAGTACACAAGTCCCAGGCTAACTCTACCACAGCCCACCTCCCCCATGAAACAGACGTGCTTCTCCATCACCTCTTCCCCACTGCACCCTCTGGGGAAGATGGGAACCAGCAGGGGAAGGCAACAGGGAGGCAGGGGAGAGCAAGGCCCCCACTGTCCCTGTGCAAAGCCCCCTGTGGGGCTGAGCTCGCCTCTTGTTGCTCTGCCGGGGTGTGAGGTGCTTGGAAGGGGCTGATTCAGCGGCCCTGCCATGCTCCTGATTGAGAACGGCCTTCCCTGTCCTCAAGGATGAACTCCACACCCAGCCTTCTGGAGCAAGGGGAGCCAAGCTCTCCAGAGAATCCAGCACCCTCCCCGGCTCCTTCTCTCTCCTCAACTGCTCTGAGCAGTTGCTCTGACCCTCCTGACAAACCATAGGTCAGCTTCCCTGCCCAGCAAATGCCAGTCACTGGAATCTGACAACTCAAGCAAATGGCTGTGGCCGTGGCCCCCAGCTGAGGCTGCAGAGTTCTGATTTCAGTCTGCAGCCCCACGGCACAGCCCCAGGAGACCTCCGCCCCTCGTCTTGCTTGTCTTGGGGCACATGGCCTTGGAGACAGGCCCCCAGGTCTCCCGCACCTCCAGCTGCAGGGGAAACAGCTGCTGCAGGAAAGGCCCAGGAGCACAAAGCGGGTTCCGCTGTGCACACGGGGACCAGGTGGCGGAGAGGGCCCCAGGAGAGCAAGCTCCACCCCTGGAGGTCCCCAGAGGTCATGAGGTGGACAGAAGTGAATGACCTGATTGCTCACCTGCTCAGAAATAAATGCTGCTGTCTGATCTCTGGTTGGGCCTGTCCTGGCATCTCAGAGGAACGAATGGGTCAAGAGGCAAGGGATGGGGGCTGGGTATTGAACCAGGTTGCATGCCAGGGCTTTATGTCACCACATTGAGTCCTGCTGGGTGTTTATTTTCTCCCAGTTTCACCTCAGAGGAAACAGTAGCTCAGAGACACTAAGTAACCGCCCTAAGGTCACACAGCTACAAAGGCCAAGCTGAGGTCCAAACACAGCTTCAGCTGACTCTAGAACCAAGGTCTTTCCATCCGTGGACCTACGTCCTGCGAGAAAGTGTCAAGAAGAACAATGTTGGGGGTTTGGGCCTCTTTCTGGGAAAAGTTTGTAACAGTTCTCTTATGTCACCAGAATTCAATGTCAAAGTCCTAACCCCCAGGACCCCAGAATGTGATACATTTGGAGACAGTCTTTAAAGAGGTAATTAGTTAACATGAGGTCATTAGGGTGGGCTCTAATCCAATGACTGGTGCTCTTGTGAGAAGAAGAAACATAGATGCTCAGAGGAAAGGCCATTGTGAGGATACAGGGAGCAGAAGGCCATCTAGGAACCAAGGTGGGAGGCCTCAGAAGAAATCACCCTGCCAACCTCTTGGTCTCAGACTCCCAGCCTCCGAAACTGTGAAGAAATAAATTCCTGTTGTTGACGCCACTCTGTCTGTGCACCACCCCAGCAAACGAAGACACGTCCCAGCTTACTGAGGGCGCATTGTTTTCTAAGCCCCTGGGCAGGGCATTCTACGCTGAGTCATGTTCAGAATGGGGTCCCATCTCAGAGGCAGGCAGGGGGACCAAGGAATCACAGGTGTCCACAGAACCCTGTAACTAATGACACTTTGGCTACAAAACTCAGCACGGGGTATATGCTCTGTCAACTGTCTTTCCTTTTAATTATCCTGGAAACAAACACCTCTGCCTCCAGACATCTAGGAGGGAGTCAGGCAGACACAGTGACTTCCTGCAAACTGTAGGCACAAGGTGATCTTGAGGCTCTGACCAGGTGGGACACCAGGCACTTCTTCCTGTGGCCTAATTTGAGCTTTTCCTCTCTGTAATAATCACAGTGAAACACAACCCGCCTTGCTCCTGGGTGCTCCTTGATCTTCCTCGTCACTGCCTGTCACTCATCATCCAGTGATCGCCGCTGACCCTGCAGGGCGATAACTGACTGTAAGATGCGTGGACAAGTGGGAAAACCCAGACTGGAGGTGGAAGAAATCGGCCTCTGAATTTTTTTGAGCATTTCATTTGAATACATCCTGTCATTAGTGAACAGGAATTAACACACACAGCGGGGGAAGAAGAGAGCCCTTTTGAATTGCAAGGGGTGAGGTCGGAATAAGGGGGTTTTACAAAAATGAGCTCATGTCTAAAGGGGGAGGTGGAAATGGGTGCTTCAATTTACATGTGCGTGCATATGTACACACGTATGAGTATATGCATGTATGCGTATGAATACATGTATGTCTGTGTGTGTATATGTCTTTGTGCACACCCACAGATACACACACACTTCGTCTTCTGCACTTCATTCACGGAAAAGGCCTCTGCCAGAGCTGCCCTAGAGGGAAAGTTCAAGCCCATCTCCAACATTTTTCTTGATTCTTCCGTCGGTGGATGAGAAGGCACAGAAATAGGACCCCTCATACCAAAAAGAAAAGAAAAGAAATCTGTATTTTTAGCATTCTGCAGTTTGGTATTCCTCAAACTTGATAACTTGTAAGTGGAAATCCTGATCATTGTTAGAAACTATTCCTATGGGCTCCCAACCGAAAGACTGTGAACATACTGCTAAAGACACTAATCTATCATTTCCCCCTTTAAACCAACAGCAAATATCCCCAGAAAATAGTCTGCTCTAGAATTGCATCTACTGAAGGGTGTGTATAATATTTAAGGGCATGTTTGCCCCACTTGTATTCACATGTATAAAACAGAAGAAGGGAAAAAAAAAACTCTGCCTGACCTAATATTCTAGAAGACAATATGTTCTGACCACACTTCATTACAAGCATGAAAAATATTCCTTCCGAAAGGGAAAAAATTGTATGTAGTGTTCATGCCACAGGTCAAGACGTATCCCCCTTAGCTTGGGCTCTGCTCTGAACAGCCACCCACACGCATAAGCACATTTCACTGTGACTGCCTTTGTGTGCCTCGGTGGAGCTGAAGCAGCTAGAAGTTCCTGCAAAGTTCAGGAGAGGATTAAACCTGCCTATCTGGGGCTGGAATATGCCTGAACCTCTTAGACTGTTGATCAAGCCAACAGACCCCAAGGGTAGTTGGCCAGGTGGACTAGCCAGAGGCTGAGTTCTGGTTGGGTCTCTCCAGAAAAGGGAGCCATGGCCCTGGGCACCCCTGCAGCAAACATCAAAACCCCATAAAAGGAGCAGGAGATGGTGGCCAGAGAAGCCAGCGACGTTGATGGCGTAGGGGCACAGCTGAATCCTATGGAGTGTTTGAAGGATATAGGTGCACAAATGGAGCAAAGGGACTACTGGGTGCGACCTGGGGAAATGGAAAGGCTCCTGGCATTGTTTCTGAATAAGTCACAGTAATTAACAAGTGAGTGGATCCCTGTTGTGGATCTTCTGTGCGCAGCTCTCTCCTGAGGATTGCCGGGGTTTTGTTAAGGTCCAAGAACAGACTTTATCTTGTTGGTAAGCAGACAATATGGACTGGGCTTGCACTGTGAATTTGCTGAATTCTGCCCCTGAAAATAAGGAAAACTAAGTCTACAA